CAATTCCTGGAGCCTTGTTTTTTGCCAATGTCTTCAGTGCAGCTTGGACTTCTTCCTTCAGTACTATCAGTTCCCGATCATATGCTATCTCCTGAAATGGTTGAATGTCGATCAATTCTTTTTGATATAATGATTCTGTGTATTCCTTCCATCCTCTTTTGATGCTTCCTGAGTCATTTAATATTTTCCCCATAGAATCCTTCACTATTGCAACTTGAGGCATGAATTTTTTCTTCAGTTCTTTGAGCTTTAGAAATGTCAAGTGTGTTCTTCCCTTTTGATTTTCTATCTCCAGCTCTTTGTATATGTCATTATAATACTCTGTCATCTTGAGCTGCCCTTTGGAATCTTCTGTTCAATTCTTTTATTTCATCAATATGTCTATTAGACAATCACATATAGTCTCAGAGAAGAACTGAGAAACTGGACTTAGTTCTTGTTGTTAAATGGCATCGAGTCGGTTCTGACTCATAGCAACCCTATGAACAACAGAACTGGCATTAGAGTCCTCAAAAAAATCATCTTACTGCTTTTAGGTACTTTCATTTAATGGACTTAAAGACACCAGTGGAAGGAATATAAGAGAAGAAAATTTCAATTTTACTTACCCCATAGCAAACTCATCTAAATTTGTTTTTCCCATAAGTAGAGCTCCTTGATCCAACAACTTCTGAACTACTGTGGCATTATAAGGTGGTACATAACCTAAAAAAAATTCAGTTCTTTTTATTATAAGAGAAAAAACAGTGAACATGTAAATCATAGGCAGAGAGCAAATACAATTTCAAATAGTGACTAAGCAGTTTACTCATACTTGTATTTTTAAATTTTCCTTAATTTGAGTAGTAGGCTGCACTTTCTTCCAAGAGTTAATTTTTTCTATCACTACCTATTATGTTTTTTCAAAAGATAGTCTGTTACTGTATTTTTTCCAAATGATAGTCTGTATAGTCATCATTTTTATAATCTAAAAACACTGACTTCAACAGCTGTTGTTATTGCTGTTAGGTGCCATTGAGTCAGTTCTAACTCATAGCGACCATATGAACAACAGAACAAAACACTGCCTGGTCCTGTACCATCCTCACAATCATTGCTATGTTTGAGCCCACTGTTGCAGCCACTGTGTCAATCTATCTCGTTGAGGGTCTTCCTCTTTTTTGCTGACCCTCTGCTTTACCAAGCATGACGTCCTTCTCCAGGGACTCCAAACTACATGAGACAATGTCTTGCCATCGTCGCTTCTCAAGAGCATTCTGGCTGTACTTCTTCCAAGACAGATTTGTTCGTTCTTCTGGCAGTCCATAGTATATTCAATATTCTTCATCAACACCATAATTCAAAGGCGTCAATTCTTCTTCTGTCTTCCTTAGTCATTGCTCAGCTTTTGCATGCATATGAGGTGATTGAAAACACCATGGCTTGAGTCAGGCACACCTTAAGTCTTCAAGGCAACATCTTTGCTTTTTTAACACTTTAAAGAGGTCTTTTGCAGCAGATTTGCCCAATGCAACACACTGTTTGATTTCTTAACTGCTGCTTCCATGAGCACTGATTGTGGATCCAAGTAAAATAAAATCCTTGACAACTTCAATCTTTTCTCTGTTCACGACAATGTTGCTTATTGGTTCAGTTGTGAGGATTTTTGTTTTATGTTGAGGTGCAACCCATACTAAAAGCTGTAGTCTTAGATCTTCATCAGTAGTTAAGTGCTTCAAGTCACTTTCACTTTCAGCAAGCAAAGTTGCGTCATCTGCATAATGCAGGTTGTTAATGAGTCTTCCTCCAATCCTGATGCCCCATTCTTCTTCATATAGTCCAGTTTCTCAGATTATTTGCTCAGCGTACAGATTGAATAAGTACAGTAAAAGGATACAACCCTGATGCACACCTTTCCTGACTTTAGACCACACGGTAGCCCCTTGTTCTGTTCAAACGACTGCCTTTTGGTCTATGTACAGGTTTCTCATGAGCACAATTAAGTGTTCTGGAATTCCCATTCTTCGCAATGTTATTCATAATTTGTTATGATCCACAGAGACAAATGCCTTTGCATTGACAATAAAACACAGGTAAACATCTTTCTGGTATTTTCTGCTTTCAGCCAAGATCCATCTGACTTCAACAGTTAGTACTATAAAATATTACATGACAGTCAGTGATGTACTTAATTCATTTGGAACTAATAGTAAATTATTATTTTGTTCACTGTACTGGACTTTTTCTTCCTAGAGATGCTATATATATATATATCACAAAGCAATTTTTACATATTTTCTGGTAGAAATAGATTTTTATTCTCAATTAAAATCTCCTCTATCTATTGGAAAGCTTTAGTGCATATTCCAAAGCAATTAACAAAAGTCCACACTTCAGATTTATTTCCATGTTATCAATGAGCTGGAGTTAGAAGGTGACTTAATATATTTGTGGTGATCAGGTATTGGGCCTCCAACTTCCAAAGTCAGATTCATTCACTAAGCTGGTTTGCCTCTGAAGAATAATTCTGCATTTTGAAAGAGTAAATAGTAAAAAAGATGATATTCTATCCCAAGTATTTCCTTGGAAGATATAGCTAGTCTGAGGTTATCTTGGCATTTTAGTATTTGGTAATTTAAACTGAATAGTACCTATTTTTTTTAAATTGTTAATACTCAAATCAGTTATATCTTACCTTTCAGCATGTTTGATGCACATGTTGTCTCAATGCCAGATGTGCTGAAGTTGTCTTTTACTGCAACAGGAATTCCATCTAAATCCCCAAGTGACTGACCTAGGTTAAAAAGCCATGGGAGTGACAGGAGATAATAGCCCAAAATATAAAGACAATAATACTAGATGTTACAATAGCTACTAAATACATATAAAAATGTGCCTTAAGAAATCAAATTTTGGTTAGAAATTGTTACAGTTGGACATTACAAAGCGTCATATATCTATTAGCCTCATTTTTATTATACCTCATGGCAAGTTCTTTAAATAAGAGTATATTATATGTTGAAAGCTTCACTTGCCAAATGGAGACTGTTACATCCAGTTAAACTCCTTCTCTGGAGGTATAACAATTAAGTATAATTAAAAGTCATTTACCTTTTGCATATCTCTTCTCTGATTCTTCAGCTTGCTTTAGGGCCACCTCTTCTGTTACAGTAATGTAAGCATTAAGAAACTTCGTCTTCTTGATCAGAGAGAGACATTTCTGACAGAGCTCTGTTGGAGTAATTTGGCCTTTCTTCAGACCTGCAGAAACCTACAGTACACATAATTCAAAAACCCTTTAATGAGTCTGCAGAAGTTTCAAATATTATACTGAGGGGGGCAGAAAGAGTGGTAAGTAAACTTTGAAGTGAGGTTTGGGTTCAAAATCAAGAGAAACTATCAACTCTACACTAAGTGTAGTGAATTGAAAGGTAATGCATTGTTCAGTTTAACGGTTTACACTCACCTACTAACCTAAAGGCTGTCAGTTTGAACCCACTCAGCAGCACCACAGAAGAAAGGTCTGGCGATCTGCTTCTATAAAGATTACAGCCAAGAAAACACTGTGAAGCAGCACTACTCTGTAACACACAGGATCGCCATAAGTCAGAATCAACTCGGTACCTGGTTTGGTTTTTTGTTTTTTAGGAGGACATGACTGTCATCTCCCTAGTTGAACAACTTTTTTTCTAAATCATGCTTATACAAACAAAAGCAGTAGTTTAGGTTAGCCATACTGTTCAAAGGAAGTAGGGGCCCAGCACAGGTAAAGGATGGGTTGGGATAGATCACATATGGAGGGAAGCTTAGCTACAGCACAGGCAATCCAGAATGAAAAGAGAGAAATGAACTAGACCCTACAAGATTTTATGGCTCTAAATAAGATCTTCAGACCTACTGCAGAATTCAAGCAAGAGCCACTATCAACTAAGAGAAATGTTTATAAAATATGGGTTTAAAAGCAAACTGGAAACAAACTTTTCAGCATTCTGTCTTTGATGCACTGGTAAGGCTAGTAAAGAAAGCATTAAAATAAGCTGCATTACAAGTGACCAGAAGCTGTATATTGAAAGTAAGTGAAGTATGAGGTGAAGTGATGACTATTTAGTATTTCCTATTAAACCCCAAACCCAAATCTTTTGCCTTGAGGTCAATTCTGATTCATAGCAGCCTCACAGGACAGAGTAGAACTGTCCCATAGGGTTTCCAAAGAGCAGCTGGTGGATTTGAACTGCTGATCTTTGGTTAGCAGCCATAGCACTTAACCACGGGGCCACTGGAGCCCCAATATTTCCTATAGAAAGTAGAAATAATATGTAGTAGTCACTAATCGGGGCCCTAGTGGTACAGTGGTTAAGAGCTACAGCTGCTAATCAAAAGGCTGACAGTTTGAATTCACCAGCTGCTCCGTGGAAACCCTGCGGGGCAGTTCTCCTCTGTTTTACAGTGTCGCTGTGAGTCGGAATTGACTTGATGGCAGTGGGTTTTTGGTTAGTCACTAATCAGATAAAGACATCCTTGGGTGGTACAATTAGTTAAAGTCTGTTAACCCAACGGTTGGTGTTCAAGTTCACCCAGAGATGCCTTGGAAAAAAATGCCTGGAGATCTACTTCTGAAAAAACCAGCCATTGAAAACCCTATGGAACACAGTTCTACTTTGACACGTATCGAGTAGCCATGAGTTGGAAAAGACCTGATGGCAACTGGAAAAAAAAAAGAAATCGGATAAAAGGAATGAGTAACAAAAAGTCAAAGATGATACCCAAGCTTTGGAGATTATATGAAAAGGTAGGTGGCTAAGGTGGGAGCTCAGAGGCAAGCGGGCTGGGAGAAGGAATAATATTGAGAGTGTTTAACCAAGAGCCAGGCATTGTTGCTTCATAGCAACCACCTAAATTAGGTATTCTTCACTTACAGGTGAAGAGACTGAGGTTCAGAGAGGTTAAGTGATTTGTCCAAAGTCACAAAAATAGTAAAGGTTAGAAGTGACTTCCTAACCCATGCTCTTAACCATTTCTATCTCTACACTACTGGAAGTTTATGCTTAGTTTTCCTCCAAGTTGATTATGCATTTTTGCATGGACATGTCCTATATGCACCAAGCAACAGAGTTTGTATTTGAAGGGAAAATCTGTAAATGATCTGCTCTCTGCTGTTATGTCATCAAAGCAATGCCAATCTTAGGGTTGAGGGTTTTAAATGAGAAAAGCAGTGGGAATAGGCCATCAAGAGGACCCCTAATGCTAACGGACAAGTGGAGGAAAAGGAACTGCCATAGGGCGCCTGCCAGGAGTGAATGAGGAATGTAGAGGGGCAGCTATGTTTGGCTTAAAGGAGGTAAGGTAGTGAATAGTTTGCATGAAATGTAAACTGTTTAGAAGCAAAGGCCTGGAAAGAAAGAAAAGGCAACAGTGTATTCTAATACTGTGAATGTGGAGTGGGAAGAAAGGGGGCAGTGGAGGCTGTGGAAGAGAATAGAAACTAGCAAAAACCCAAAGTCGGAAGAGACAGAGAGCTATATAACCAGTTGCCATCAAGTAGATTCCAACTCATGGTGACCCCACGTGTTTCAGAATAGAACTGTGCTCCATAGCGTTTTCAATGGCTGTGATCTTTAAGTAGATTGCCAGGTCTTTCTTCCAATGTGCCTCTGGGTGGGTTCAAACCACCAACCTTCCTGCTGGCAGCCAAGTGCTTAAACCATTTGTGCCACCCAGGGGCCCTAGAAAGGTATATAGGCATGCCTATCCCATGGTAAAATTGTAATAATGAGGGAAATTGTGTCTGTCACTTTCTCTTCTTCCTTGATTCCCCTCAAGTCCTCTAATGCCTACTATCCTCAAGCTGTTTTCTGACTTGCCAAATGGCATAATAATAAGAGCTAGGGAGCTACAATTGTGGTTAAAAGCATAAGAAATGAGATTGTCTAAGAGCACTCCATTCAAATAGTGCAAATAGTGCTGATCTTTGTTAGGACCATTTTCAGGACACCCGTATCTGTGAGAACTAAAAAGGAAATTGGAGGAGAGAAACGAAAACATAGTGAAAGGATTCAGAAGATGCTAAATTGCTAGAAAGGAGTGAGCATAGGAGTACGGACTATGAATATACAGCTCTCATGGGAAAAACTGAAGGGTTCATATTTGAATAGAGACAAAGTCAACTTGAAAATTTTTTCTTTTCTTTCTTTCTTTTTTTTTTTTTTTAAAAAAAAGAGTTCTCTTTACTTTCTTTTCTCCAATGGAAACCAGGCTTTCCTGTGCAGCCATATCAATGTTTCCTCCTCTTCATCTCCCATTCTCATTCTCCTTCCACTTCCCTCCGTTTTTACTGAAGTCATTTGAAGACACTAAGAAGGTTCTTCTCCTTTCTTAAGGGATGGCTGCTTTCTCCTACCTTCCATGTACCACAGAGTCTGGTGGTAGTGGAGGTAGGGATGTGGGCAGGTGTCCTCCTTGTTTCTCAATGCCTTGCAAAATGTATCTACTCTCTTTTCCACCAAAAATTCTAGCTCACCTGAAGCACCTGGAATAGCTTATATCACTCTCCCTGGTGTGTTAATCTACAATCTCCCTGGCACTGCCTTTCGTTCATTAAACATTTTTGCATCTAATGCACTGTAATCTTTACTATGGCTCTCGTTATCATTCTTGTTGACTTTAAACTCCAAGTTCATGTGGACTGACACCTGACCTCCTCAATTCCTTGACCTCATTTCCTCACTTCCCATGGTCATAGACTAGACTACACTGTTACCACTAACTATATAATCATCTGAGTCTCGATGCTACTCATCAACTCTCTGACCATCAACTCCTGTCCTTCCAGCTCATTTACTCTACTCCATTCCAGTAATTATTTGACCTCATAGAGACCTCTGAGGTCATACCATTTTGTCACTAATCATCACTGTTCACTCTGCCCGGTCCTATGCCATCCTCACAATTGTTATGCTTGAGCTCATCGTTGTAGACACTGTCAATCCATCTCATTGAGGGTCTTCCTCTCTTTCACTGACTCTCTACTTTACCAAGCATGATGTCCTTCTCCAGGGATCATTTCCTTTAGCTCCTTATGCAGCTGAGATTCCATAATCTATCACTACAATTATCTATGACTACATACATAACCTATTACTACAATTACTTTCTTGCATACGGTCTCAACTGTCTTGCTCCTTTATCCTTCCACGGGTAAAACCTTAACTTTGCCTATACTGTATCTGCACCTAAACAGATAAATATGATTGGAGTAAACGAGACTATTGTGCTAACTCATTTCACATTAAATTTATGACCATTAATGCCAATACTTTTTTCAACAACTATGCACATGGACCTCACTGAATGGTTTGTACAGGAATAAAATCTACTACATCCGTGGAAAGAGACGATGGAGAAGCTCAATATTATCAGTCAAGGCAAAGCCAGGGGCTGACTAGGGAATACACTATCAATTCTCATATTCAAGTTGAAGTTGAAGTTGAAGAAAAATCAAGTTCAAGAGAACCAAAGTACAACCTTGAAAACATCCTGCCTGAATTTAGAGACCATATCAAGAATAGCTTTGACGCACTGCACACTAATGACCAAAGACCAGAAGAGTTGTGGAATGACATCAAGGACATCATAGATGAAGAAAGTAAAAGGTCATTAAAAAGACGGGAAAGAAAGAAAAGACAAAAATGGATGTTAGAAGAGACTCTGAAACTTGCTCTTGAGCACAGAGCAGCTAAAGTGAACAGAAGAAATGATGAAGTAAAAGACTTTAGCAGAAGATTTCAAAGGGCAGCTGAAGATGACAAAGCAAAGTGTTATGATCAAATGTGCAAAGACTTAGAGTTAGAAAACCAAACGAGAAGAACATGATCTGCAATTCTCAAGCTGAAAGACCTGAAGAGAAAATTCAAGTCTTGAGTCACAATATTGAAAGATTCTATGGACAAAAATTGAATGACGCAGGAAGCATCAAAAGAAGATGGAAGAATACACAGAATTATTATACCCAAAAGATTGGTCGATGTTCAACCACTTCAGGAGATAGCATATGATCAGGAACCGATGGTACTGAAGGAAGAAGTCCAAGCTGCACTGCAGGCACTGGTGAAAAACAAGGTTCCAGGAATTGACAGAATATAAATTGAAAGATGTTTCAGCAAACGGATGCAGTGCTGGAAGTGCTCACTCATCTATGCCAAGAAATTTGGAAGACAGATACGTGGCCAACCAACTGGAAGAGATCTATATTTGTGTTCATTCCAAAGAAAGGCAAACAAACAGAATGCAGAAATTACTGAACAAATATCATTAATATCACACGCTAGCAAAATTTTGCTGAAGAATTGCCAGAAGTTCAAGCCGGATTCAGAAGAGGAAGTGGAATGAGGGATACCATGGTGATGGCAGATGGATCTTAGCTGAAAGTAGAGAATCATAAAGATGTTTACCTGTGTTTTATTGACTAAGAAAAGGCATTCGACTGTATGGATCATAACAAATTATGGATAACACTGGCAAGAACGGGAATTCCAGAACACTTAGTTGTACTCATGTGGAACCTGTACTGGATCTAGAGGCAGTCATTCGAACAGAACAAGGGGATACTGCACAGTTTAAAACTGGAGAAGGTGTGTGGTAGGGTTGTATTCTTTCACCTTACTTATCCAATCTGTATGCTGAACAAATAATCCAAAAAGCTAGGCTACATGATGAAGAATGCAGCATGAGGACTGGAGGAAGACTGATTAACAACCTGAGATATGCAGATGACACAACCTTGCTTACTGAAAGTGAAGATGACTTCAGGCCTTTACTGATGAAGGTAAAAGACTACTGCCTTCAGTATGGATTACTCCTTAACACAAAGACAACAAAAATCCTCACAACTAGACCAATAAGCAATATCATGATAAACAGAGAAAATATGGACGTCGTCAAGGATTTCATTTTACTTGGATCCACAATCAATGCTCATGGAAGCAGTAGTGAAGAAAACAAACAACAAAGTACTGCATTTGGGCAAATCTGCTACAAAAGACATCTTTAAAGTGTTAAAAAGCAAAGATGTCACTTTAATGACTAAGGTGTGCCTGACTAAAGCCAGATATTTTCACTTGCTTCATATGCATGCAAAAGCTGGACAATGAAAAAGGAAGACAAAAGAAGAACTGAAGCAGTTGAACTGTGTTGGCAAAGAATACTGAATACACCATGGACTGCCACAAGAACAAACAAAACTGTCTTGGAGAAAGTATAGCCAGAATGCTTCTTAGAAGTAAGATGGCAAGACTTCGTCTTACTTACTTTGGACATGTCATCAGCAGTGACCAATTGCTGAAGAAGGACATCATGCTTCGTATAGTAGAGGGTCACAGAAAAAGAGGAAGAACTTCAGTAAGATGGATTGACACAGTGGCTGCAACAATGGGTCCAAACATAGCAACGGTTGTGAGGATGGCACAGAACCAGGCAACATTTCCTTCTGTTGTATATAAGGTCACTGTGAGTTGGAGCAGACTCGATGGCACCTAACAACAACAACATCATATGAGTACTTAGCCCTACCCAAAAAGCCTACTACTTTGGTCAACTTGCATTCCTATTCTCCCAGAAAAGGATTTCACACATTTTCCTTTCTCCTTTAATCTCTAACAATGCTTCTCTACCTCACTTTTAGTCCATGTCTTGGGAAAAATGGAGGCAATCAGAAGAGAAGTTTGTGTCTTCCCAGTATCAAATCTACCAACCTACCTTCATCTATATCTATATACTCTGCCTTCTGTCCCATAAAAAACAACAAGCTGCCTGTGTTCCTAAGACCAAACCTCCCATCTGCATAGTAGATCCCAACCCCTCTTGCTCCCATTATCTCCTCTCTCTCTCCTACATCAATTTCCTCCTTTGTTGTTGTTAGGTGCTGTTGAGTTGGTTCTGACTCATAGTGACCCTGCGTACAACAGAATGAAACACTGCCTGGTCATATGCCATCCTCACAATTGTTATGCTTGAGCTCATCGTTGTAGACACTGTCAATCCATCTCATTGAGGGTCTTCCTCTCTTTCACTGACTCTCTGCTTTACCAAGCATGATGTCCTTCTCCAAGGATCATTTCCTTTAGCATATAAATATTCTTGAATATTGCCCATCTTAAATATACTCTCACTGGACCCCACTGCCTGCCTGACTTGCCTGTTTCTCTGCTTCTTTAAAGCAAAATTTCTCAAAGAATCTGTCTATATTTAATGTTTCCACTTCCTCATCTCCTATTCTCATTCTCTTCCCTCCCCTTGAAAACTAATGTGAGTCTTTACTGAAGTCATTTGAAGACAATAAGAAGGTGATTTTACAGGTCAAATAATAAAATTTCTTTAAAGTTCTTTAGACAGTTCTCTTTCTTTCCAGAGTTCCAGTCCTCTTAGAAGGTACCCAAATCTCTCCTCATGCTCTGTGGTATCTGGCTTGTCCCATTTGCATGGCCAGCTAACACCTGTGGGAGGCAGAATTCTAAGATGGTGCCCTAGATACACTGGGATCATGCCACAGAAGAGGAAGGCAAAAGGGAGACTCTCCCTTCCTGATGTATCTGGGTAAAATTTACAAATAGGAATTTTATCTCCTATTTGACATTTTACCTCCTCTTAGTGCTCACTCCCAGAATTCCTCTGTTGCCCTATATCTCCACCTAGGTTCCCAATATTGCCTCAAAACTCCCTAATTTCCAGCCCCTCAACCCTAATTTCCTCCCCAGTAAAATTTTCCTGTCTTTAATTGATTACCTCAACTGAGTGTTAAGAAGGAGATAAATCTGATTGAACCATTATAATTTACGACAACGGGTGAATAAATCATTCAACCATCCCTGGAATCTTTACATATTTAAAAGAGAGAAATGTGTATTAAATCAATCAGCCTCTAATTGGTAGAATTTGGGGCAGCAGTGCAGTGATATGGGAAAAAAAACTAACAGAGTAGACAAAAGATATTTGGGGGGCTGTGAAAATAACGACCAAGTAATGCTTTGCACATAGCAGGCATCAATAAATATTTGTTAAAGGACTGATTAAGTTGAAGAAATCATGCCAAAACAACCTAGTGGTCTTCCCTAGGGGTAGCTCACCTGCATAGTTCTTTTTTTTTTCCCCCATGAAGCTAAAGTTGGTTTTTACAATGGCTCACTTAGCAAGGTTAGGAAGGGGTGGCACAAAGAAGGTGGTGTTTAAGGTAAGAGGGCAGGAAAAGGAGACACTGTACCATATTTTTATAGGTTGGGTTTTGTTTTAAAACAAGTGTTTTTTTTTTTCTTAGAACAAATTGGATTTTTCACTGACAGTACAGGCCAGATGCAATCTAAAATGGTAAAGCATTAACGTATTTTGGGCAAAAACTATTTATTATTTAGTCTGTGGATTTAAAGTTCTCATTACAATTTATACCTTTTTAAGACTGCCAACCTGGAAAAAAAAAGACTTCCCAGGTAGAGGTACAAAAGGAATATTGAAGGCAAGATAGTTTACTTGGAGGCCGAGTTAAACCATATACACACAGATCTAAGTAGGTCTAGTGTGGAACAAAGTTGTAGTTTTAACCAGGGTCTTAGGTGATTCTGACAGCAGTTGGCCTGCAGACAGTTCTAGAGGTTAGGAGATCTGGGCTAGTGAGGAAGGAGACCTGAATTAAAGCCACAGTAGCAGGGACAAAGTAAGAGAAGAGATTTCAGACATATTTACAAGACAGAATTAACGGTCATTATGAGTTGGAATTGACTTGACGGCAACATGTCATGCATTGAATTGTGTCCCCCAAAAATATGTGTCAACTTGGTTAGGCCACGATTCCCAGTATTGTGTGGTTGTCCTCCATTTTGTGATTGATGTAATTTTCCTATGTGTTGTAAACCCTAATCTCTGCCTGTAGTTAATGAGGCAAGATTGGGTTATAATAAGGAGGATTAGGGTGGGATGTAACACCCTTACTCAGGTCACATCCCTGATCCAATGTAAAGGGAGTTTCCCTGGGGTGTGGTCTGCATCACCTTTTAGCTTATAAGAGATAAAGGAAAGAGAAGTGAGCAGAGAGTTGGGGACCTCATACCACCAATAAAGAAGCACTGGGTGCATAGCCTATCCTTTCGACCCAGGGTCCCTGCACTGAGAAGCTCCTAGACCAGGGGAAGACTAAGCACAAGGACCTCCTGCAGAGCTGACAGAGAGAGAAAGACTTCCCCTGGAGGTGACACCCTAAATTTGGACTTACAGCCTACTAGACTATGAGAGAATACATTCTCTTTGTTAAAGTCATCCACTTATGGTTATTTGTTATAGCAGCACTGGATGACTAAGACAAACGGGTTTGATTTTTTTTGGTTTTGGTGGTGCAGTGGCTAAGCCCTCGGTTGGGTCGGTGGAACACACCAGCCGCTCTGCAGGAGAAAGATGTGGTAGTCTGCGTCTGCAAAGATTACAAAAAACCAAACCAAATCCACTGCTGTCCAGTCGATTCTGACTCACAGCGACTCTAAAGGATAGAGTAAAACTACACTGGCTCCATGGCAACTGGTAGTGATTTACTAGACATGACTGGGACAGTGGGATAATTGTTCCATTAAAGCGAGATTAAGAACTCAAAAGGATCAAGTTTTCTGGGTTTAAGATGGGAGTTGAGAGGGTAACGGTGGTTCTGTTACAACGATGGATTCCACCTTAGACAAGTTTGAGAAGCTTATGGGATATTTGGAAGGCATTCATAAATATAACCTAGAGTTTCAAATACAATATCCAGGAAGTGCAAACACGGTTTAGGGAGTCACTGGTACCTGAACGGCAGTTAAACCCTAGAAATGAATACATCAAGAAAAAAAAATTTTACTTGTTTGCATTTTGCAAAATACGAATTTGCATCAGATGAGCGTCGGAAGAGAGACTAAAGACGACCAGCAAAATCTCCGTTATCTGGCAGACCCCACTCTGAGCCACCACCCGGAGGCCGACCCCACCCTGAGCAAACGAATAATCGCGAGAAGCCGGGTGAACGGTTCCCCTCTACAGCTCCGTGGTGCAGAGATCTCCTCTGCTGAAGTCCTAACCTCAGAAAGGTTATAGAGAATACAGCCGGAGGACCGAAAGGTCCAGATCCCTCACCCAGTTCAAGGGAAGTAGGCGGCAAGCCGGACCGAAATACGTGGTCAGGCCGGGAGACAGCTCGTCCACGGAGTCCACGAATCTTTCCGCCCTCCCCGGACCCTCAGTAGGCCAATCCCACTCACTTCTCGGAGTGTCCGGCCCAGCATGGTCTTCGTGCTCGGCCTGCCACCACAGGGGCTAGGTGACAAGGAGGAAAAACGATCGACGGCCACTGCCGATATTACATGCGCGCAGCCATCTTTGATTGTCGCTGAACATTTTAGCACCAAGTACTTGGATTGGTTGAATTGCAGCCTAGCAAATGATCCTTGCACGCGATTGGTTGGCTCTGCAAAGCGGACCCGGCAGCGAAGGAGAGCCGACCCGACAAGGAGACTCCGAGCTAAGGTCGCGGCGGGAACGCGGGACGGTCCGAAACTCGGTGGCGTCCGGGTCGCGAGCAGTGTCTACTTGTCCCTCCAAGGGCTCCTAGGACTGGAAGGGGTTTGGGGGGTGGGGTGCACACCTTTTTTTTTTAAGAGAGGTTAGGTCGGGGCGTAAGGGAAAATAGAATACGAACTGGAACGTTAAATGGAGCATTTCAGATGGCGAACAACAGGATAACAATTTCTTAGTCTATTTTCTTCAGTTGCTTCGTTAGGTTAACTTCATTTTTTGAATGCTCAATTTTGAAATCGGCTAGCATGTTTGGCAGAATTTGACGGAATTCAGGAGTAAAAGTTTTATCGAATACAAGTGCATTTTAGTTGGGACACGCATGATGGAATTTCTGAAGAACTGTGTACTTAGAAGAAATGCATGCACTGCGGTTCACTTCTGGAGAAGCAAAACTGTACGAAAGACATCAGTAATTAGAAAGATTAGTACTACTTCTCCAAAGTGCACTGTCATGCCCGCTTGGGTGATAGATAAATATGGGAACAATGAAGTGCTTCGATTTACTCAGAACATGATGTTCCCTATCATACACTATCCAAATGAAGTCGTTATCAAAGTCCACGCTGCAAGTGTAAATCCTATAGATGTTAACATGAGAAGTAAGTTTTCAAAAGACGTTCTTCTCTACCTTTTTTTTTTTTTTTTAATTTAGGTTCTTCAGAGAATTTCATCAGGGATACAGTTTTAAAAGATCAATTGTTATTTGATTATACTTCTTTAACACAAAGGAATTATTTAGGTTTGTGACAGTATCTCAGCAAATATTTCCAAAATTTTTGAAATTGCCATGTTTGTGGTATACTTTAATCTTCTCAAAGTATAAGTTTGTATTGTTCCCATTCTTCTTTTTAAAATGTAAATTAGGACTTGAGAGTTGTGTCTACGGCTAACTTTCTGGCATACCCTTGTGGGAACTTTGTGATACCCTGAGTTCAGTCGCAGGTTTTGGAAGCAGGCTCATGTTTTCTCGTCAGCTCAGAATTTGTACTTTTTATAATAATTTCCTTGGCCTCTTTGCTCACATCTTCTTTTATTGACCTATGACTAAAGCAGCAGAACAGGAGGCCAGGATATGGACACAGTACTTTCCTCATTTCTGTGGTTGTCTCTGCCTTCAGCTATTTCCTACTCTGCTCCATCCTAAATGGTAATAATGTTATCTTCATTTCTGTTGGGAGATATTGACAAAATTTGGAGAGCACTATATTCCTTAAATATAGACTGTGCAATTGTATTTATTGAAGTACTGAAAAGACTGATTATTTGTGAATTATTTTAATTTCGGAAAATAATGACAAAAAATATTGCCAGTCTTAATATGGGAACCCAGCTACATCTTCTGAAGAAATCAAAAAAATGTCTTCTGGGATGATTGGTCAGTTAACCTCAGTGTTTTAAGTGCACTTCTGTATGCAGTTTAATTTAACAATGGGTCTGTGTTTTGAAGGGCTTGTGTGTAGACCTAAATTCTCCGCAACAGATTACCTCAATAATAATTCTGATGAACTATGTGAGATGAATTAAATTTCATTTTATGTACATATCCAATTACAAAATTAAAATTAATTTTGTGTAATTTATAGAAAAGTTGGAAAGTGTTGAGATTTTTACTTTTTATTTCCTTTTTTTTCCCCAGGAGTATTGTGATAGTTTAGGGCAGCAATTTTAAAATTTTTAGGTCTCAGGACCTCTTTACACCCTTAAAAATTGTTGAGCTTTTGTTTATGTGAGTTATAGCTATTGATATTTACTTTGTTAGAAATTTTAATACTTATTTATTAATTTGTTAAAAATGCAGTAAACACCTATGTGTTAACATTACAACATCAAATCAGAATAAAAATATGAAATGACTTAAAAATAATGACTGAAAGACAGCTACATATGTGAAGTGCTTAAACGTAATAATACTTGACAGAACATGGGTTCTACCTTGAAAAACCTTATAATGAAAAATAGCTGTATTTTCCAAAATAAATGTAGAGGGAAGTTTTGACATTTGCAAATCTCTTTACTGTCTAGTTTAATAAGATAACTGTATTTTCATATCTGCTTCTCCATTCAATCTATTGCAGTACGTCATTTGAAGTATATGAAGAAAAGCCAGCCCCACACAGATAGGTAGTCAGAAAAGAAAGGACTCCTTAGAGGTCTTGAAAATGTCTTGGGGACATACCAGACTTGGAGGACTGCCGGATTAGGGAAATAAAGTTGCGTTTCACGGTGGTTAAATCCTTTGATGACTCCAGCTTTGAATACCGTTATTGTTAATTTAGTGAATGTATCTAGACCTGTGCTGTCCACTGTAATAGCCAGTAGCCCGTGTGACTGTTGTGTATTTGAATTGACTGTTGTGCTGTGAATTGAGATGTGTAGTCAGTATAAAATGCACACTGGATTTCAGGGATTTAATACCAAAAAAAGAATGTAAAATGTCTCATTAAAAATTTTGTATTGATTACATGTTGAACTGATAGTATTTTGGATATGTTAAGTAAAATATTAAAATTAATTTCACTTGTTTTTACTTTTTTTAGTGGTTACTAGAAAATTTAAAATTACATGTATGGCTTGCATCATAATTCTATTGGACAGTGCTGATCTAGACAACGTGATGGAATAGCTATTACACATTGCTTTGAGGGAAAAAAGTGGGGAAAGACTTTAACTGTTACGGTAGATGTAGTTAGAAAGCTCTTTTAAGAATGAATTGAAATGATTTACTGTCATTGCCTCATGAAATCCACTTGTATTTTTGTTTCCTTTAAAGTAATAATTGCTACTAGTAGTTGGGCATGTTATTTTAAATTACATTATTTCTTTTACATTGGCCCTAGAGATAGTTTTTAAAGGATATGTCTTTAAGTGATAGCTTTATACCCAGTGATCAGTATTTTCTTCATCTCCTTGACTGTCGACTCTTGAAAGTAGATCCCATGCTCTGTCAATTACTACCTGTTTCAGTGCATCACAGATGTAGTCATTCAGTCATTATTTTTATGTCATTTTACATTTTCATTCTGACTTAATATTATAAACTTAAATTAGTATTTTATCTAGGGGTAGTTTTCGTATTTTGTCTTCATTTAGATTTGTTAGCTTTTTATTTCTTTGAATGTACAGTATGTGTGTAGGTTGTAATCTCAGTGGAATGGTTGCATTTGTATTTTTCTCGGCTGCTATTTAATAATATAATATTGTAACACATTTTGCTTTTTTATAGCATTCTTATGACATCTCAGTTTTTTTATGACTTGACTGAATAGTATTATTTGTAAATTATCCTGTTTTTTTTCTGCCGATCGATTCTTTTTGAGAATTTGTTATTGTTGTTGCAGAAGATATCTGCAATGACAGCTTGGGGAAATAAAATAATGAGTAGAAGATTGTAAACTGTAGGAGGCAGTTATTTCCCTTGACAAAGAAGCAAGAGACATGTCTACTTTATTTTGCAAGATGAAGGGCAGGCTCTTTTTTGGAGATGGCCACAACTGCTGAGTATAAATAATAAATCATAGAAATGGCTAAAGAAATGGATGGTCTTAAAAATAGGAGAGGGAAAAAAAACAGCCAACAGCATCATACCAACAAAGTTTGGTTTCTATAGATAGGATTAAAGTCTTTGAAAGTCTGATGACAGATACAAGATTTTTGAAATCATTTGTCCCAACTTTCTGAACTAGTCAAACTGGCAACTTCTATCAATGGGTTGAAGCTCTAAGGGCCCCTATTCATTTGTGTCACCAAGCAGGTTCTCAGTCACTACCAGCTGCATTGTGGATTTTAGAATCATTTAGACAGTACTAGTGAGCTAGCTGGAGCTACTCAGTTAAGACATCAGTGTATCAGGGTGACCAAGAAAACTGTTTAAGCAGCCTTGAGCTGTGAGCTCTGTATCTCATCCCTGAAACCTTTTTGTGGCTCTGAAACGGCAGCTAAAATTTGACATGGCTAAATGCCCACTTCTGTTGCTCAAATCACATAGGAATAATTGTTTAATTATGTTTCAGTAATGGAAAAGGAATGTTTCAGACAGGGTAAGTGAGACATATGACTTTTGTGAGTATTACATGTGAAGTTGTTCTTTTCTTCTAATGGAGTACACTCGTAACTAGCCAGTTGGCAAACGTGTAACGTTGGCATAATGGCCATCAGCTTAGATTTTCTGGGATGACCTCAACTTTCAAATACTTTCTCCCATGTGTCTTGATTTTTTTCTTAGAAAAACAACTTCTGTAAGCTACCCACCTGTCAGCACCTCTCCTCATGCCTTCTTACTCTCCTCCTGCTATGGGGATTAACTGTCTGGGCTACTCTCTAAATTCAACACTTCACTTGTGCGGTAGATCCCATCCCTCTCACCTACTCGGGTATTGGTCCAGCAATTCTGTCCTGCGTCATCAGTCTTTTCCTTTCTACTGCATGCTGTCATTTCTCCCCTCTTACAGATTAATCTTATAGATTTAAACACACACACACACACACACACACACACACACATACACACACTGAAAAATCCTCTCTCCATCTCATTTGCTGTCCTCCAGCTACGGCTCCAGTTCTCTGCTCCCTTTTATAGTAAAATTATTTGAAAGAGTTGAATTTTCTCCTGGTCTCCAATTCCTTTCTTCTTATTCTTTCTGAAACACACCATTCCACAGCAACTGCTCCAGTCAAGGTCACCATGGCCTCTATGTTGTTGAATCCAATCTTTTTTTTTTTTTTTAACCTAATAGCAGCTTTTGAGCTTATTTGAAAAACTATCTTCCGCATGAGCAGCATCTGACTTCTTTTAATGACCTTTACTTGGCTTTCAGGACACCTGTTACTTCTCTGGCCAGACCTTCCCAGGCTCCTTTTCTGGTTTCTCCTCATCCTTGGGGTCTAATGTTGTACGGCACCCAGCAGTGGGTGGAAGAGAAGGGAGACGTACAGAGTGGTTTAGTGATTCTGGAGCATAAATTGTGGGGCAGGGAGTGGTGCATGAGACTGGTGAGGTCCACAGGGTCCGTATCTTAGAGAGCCTCCCATACCAAAAATAATCTCCTAAATGATAGGGAGCCTTAGAAATATTTTAAGCTTGGGAGAAAATAACAGATGCTTTTGTGTTTTGGGAAAAGTCATTCTATATGATGAAGCCATGTAATAACCTACTTTGGATTACTGTAGATGGAGCAATTGATTTATTTAGACAAAATTATGATCAGAAGAATATTTTCAGTTCTATTTAACTGATAAGCAAATGTTCTTAAAATAAAAAAGATATATAATAAAGTAATTAACCTGTTTTAGCATATCAGAACACATACAGCCAAGTGGTTCTTTTCCACTTAGGAATCTATGCATAATTCCAAAGGTGTTCTCAGAACATTTTTTGAGGGGTGGGGACCATTACTTTTAGACCAGTGTCAGCATCCAATTATTTATATCCATGCCTTATTGTTTGTTAACTTCAAACAGCTTTAACATTTACCTTCTTCACCAGACTTGGTACCAACCAAACAAAATTTAAAAAGTGAGTGAATAAATTAATAAGGAACCATCTTCAAACTACAAAGTAAAACTGTATAAAAGAAAATACTTAAAGGTTCCGAAGACAGTTTCAAAATTCGAATTCCAAAAACATGTTGAGGAATGGTTAGCTTGTTAGCTGCCACTGAGTCAGCCCCCAACTCATGGTGACCCCATCCCGTGCACAACAGAATGAAACACTGCCCTGTCCTGCATCATCTCAGTGGTAGCTTTAGTTTAATAAGTGATTATAACTTTCTGACTAATTTTCTTTGAAGGGAGCAGCACTCACTGTTTTCCTGTGTAGTGGTAAATTGATTATTATCTAGAGGATCTAGAATTGTACCTGGCCTATAATCCTGTGGTAGTTTAAAAATTCTTACTTTAGGAGAAAACAGATAAATTGTGTTTTATAGGTGGTTATGGAGCTACGGCTTTAAATATGAAGCGTGATCCCTTACATATTAAAACCAAAGGAGAAGAATTTCCTCTGACTCTGGGTCGAGATGTCTCCGGTGTGATAATGGAGTGTGGTCTTGATGTGAAGTACTTCAAACCTGGAGATGAGGTGAGCTGTGAGTGCTGCTGCTCCTTTTCTAAATGTGGAAATTGCATTCTGCTTCTGAAAGTATGTTCCATAATGTTGACCTTTTTCTCTTTTTCAACCAGTGTACTGAGATTTGGCTAGAACCCTCATTTTCTCGATTCTGTTATTACAGTTTTCATAGACAATTCCAAAGTAGCTTGACTGTATTTGGGTTTTCTAAATCTGGTGCTTAAGAATTACAAGACTTTAAAATGTGTATGATTGGGATTCTTGTTTGTATAAAGAGCCTTTCATTTCTACCTAATGTATTAGGTGGTTTTGAAAATAGCTAAAGTTTAGTATAATCACATGTCACTTATCACTTGAACTTTTGTACCAAGAGATCATAACAAACTCATAATGATAGATGACACTGTTCTAATTGTTTTTCATAAAATAACTCATTTAATCCTTATGGAATAAGTACAATTAGGTCCATTTAACAGATGAGGAAGGGGAGCTATAGAGAGGTCCTGTGGCTAATAAGTGGTAGAGCCAGGACTCAAACCCCAGAGACTATGCTCTTACTGGTACTCTAATTAGTCAGTAAATGCAGCAAGGTATGCTAGCATCTGCTTTCAATATGGTTTGACTTGATAAATACAGAATAAATCTAAGTAATAAATTTATCAGATGTAGAAATAATTGTTTTGCCCAGTATATTGTTGCCTTGTGCTTTTTTCACAGGGTTAGGTATGTATTGGGGAGGACCATCGTGCTTAGCTGTGGTTAGCAGTGTCTGTTTGTAATGAAGTTGTGTGTGTGTTTCAGGTCTGGGCTGCAGTTCCTCCGTGGAAACAAGGCACTTTCTCAGAGTTTGTTGTAGTCAGTGGGAATGAGGTAACTCACCAATTCTATGCTGAAATGTAATTAGAAAGTATAAGCAAAGACTAAAAAATATATCTGACATAACTGGTTGTTTTTCAGATCGGGTTCATGTTTTATGGGGCAGTTTTGAAAGACTTAAGTTAGAGAATAGGAATTTTTAAAAGATTAACAAAGTATTTGATGTCATTTAATAACACCGCTTGCCACAGAGGTTATCTTTGCCTTGTGGAGCAGGGATTTGGAGTGAGATCTAGAAACCCTACTGTGTTTCTTACTTTTACCCAGTCTAGATAGTTGAAACCAAATATACCAAATGGAGAATAAAGATTAATCTTAAGCAGTGGCATGGAGTGTCAGGCTCTTTTGATTAACTTTAAAAACAGGAGGCTAATCAAATACAGTCGGGAGGCTTGATGACTTGAACAGAGAGAAAGTTTAACTTTGAGGAAATTGGCTAGAGAAGGGAGGGCAGAAAGGGAGAAAGGGGTGTTCTTGAGGTTAGAGAAAACCTGGAAAAATTATCTTCTAGTAAATAGGAGTAAAGGAAAGAAGGGGTCTAAAAAAAAAAAAAAATGGAATGTATCTGTAAGGGTTCAAGTTTTACTTGGATTTGTTTTAGTCAGTACTAACGGGTTTAAAGAATATGGTCTTTTTATAAAGAATGAAGTAGCTTAATAACCTGTATCTGATGATATAGGCTATAAAACATTTCAGAACCTCTGTGAGGCAGGTTGAGCTATTTGGAGACTATTCCTTCGGGATAATCTTGGAGTAGGATATGCAGTAACCACGGAACCTTGAAGAATTTTAGAGATTTGTCTGTGAAAATCGTTGGGTTTCTATGAAGGTGAATTACTTAATTTCATTCATCAGTTTGCAAGTCATTGCTTATTTTTGTCTGTTGTTTTCAAATCTAGGTCTCTCATAAGCCCAAATCACTCACTCATACTCAAGCTGCTTCTTTGCCATATGTGGCTCTCACAGCCTGGTCTGCCATAAACAAAATTGGTGGCCTGAATGAAAAGAATTGCACAGGAAAGCGGTAAGTATCAGTGGTTGCATCTAAACCTCCCTTTTTCCTCTAACATTTTTGCAGTAGATTTGTCACGAGCATTAATATTAGGATCATTTGCATGCACAGAATTGTGCTAACATTCTAGACAATTTCCAAGAACTCTGTATCAGTTTGCACTTTCTTAACCTCATTCTGTTGATTCTCAGTCCAGTCAAATGGATTTTTAAACTGAGATGTGTGAATAGGCTTCAGGAGTCTGAACCTTCTAAAATAAGGCAAAATTTCGTATGTGAATCTCTGGAAAAAGATCCATAGCTTTTGTCAGTTTACTGAAAAGGTTAAGAGTCATTCTGTAAAGTTTCTAAAGAATGGCATCAACATGCAGGTGTTTTTTTCCTACCACAGCTGTGAGTTGCTGTCACACTTGTGGATTTCTGTGAAAACCACATGTAAAGGGACTTCAAAAAATTGGTGAATATATTTGAATTCTCATAGAGTTAATGCCTGATATCCTTTAGGCCAATTCTAGTTCTTTGAGGTGTTGAGTGTATACTTATTTGTGTTAGCAACAATATAGGGAGTAGAAATGTCTTAGATGTACTTGAGTTCATATCCAAATTCTACCACTTTCTAGCTGTATAACCGAATGAGTCATTTCTATAAGTTTTATTTTAAGGATTAAGGAGATGATACATATAAAACTGGTGGTACAGGGTGTGGCACATGGGAGGCACTTAATAAATAGTGGTTTACTATTATTAGTTATGTGGTTATATTGTTGTTTGTATTTTAGAAGGTTGACATTAGGGAGTAAAATGACCTTATTTTTTGGCGGGAGGACTAGGTGGTTGTTAATTGCCGTCAGGTTGATTCCACCTCTTGGCAACTCCATGTGTTACAAAGTAGAACTATTCCATAGGGTTTTCAAGTCTGTGACCTTTTGGAAGCAGATCTCCAGGCCTGTTTTCCAAGGAGCCTCTGGGTGGCTTAGAACCACCAACCTTTCGGCTAGTAGTCGAGCTACGCTAGAACCATTAATGATAGTAGTAAAGGAGAGAGCTGTAGATCAAATTTAATAAAATAACTTGTTTTTTTTTGCTTACTAAGGATTGTGCAGGTAAGAAGATCTAAAGTCTGAGTAATTCTGTACTCCTGTTCTTGGGAGACATTGCACTTTACATTTAACGTGTTGTATAGCAGGCGATTGAATTTAATGAAAGTTTGCTAGATGTATTTCTGAGAGTGGTGTGAAGGCTTTTCACCTAATGAGGTGCTACCCATTTATCTAGAATCTGAGACAAATATTTATTCTAAAGGTCAACCTTGTTTATTTTTTAAGCTTTTGGGGCTTTTCTTTCTTAAAGGTACAATTTTGCTTGCTTTGTTTAAATTACGTTAGTTTGACAATATAGATTTTTCTAACGGTTTGTCTTAGTTAATAACCTTGCAAAAATTGTATTCAAGATTTTTAAACCCTTAATTATAATTGTAGGCTGTGCAAAGGCATTGATGTTTTATTGTTTGTTTTTCTTAAAAACATTAGGCTTTGTACGCCTGCATGACTGTGTGAACTCTGGTTAAATGGCCCCTGTTCCTTTTGCCTGGTGGGGGCTCCCAGGTATACATTTTTCAGTATGCTGTAGAAAACAATCTAGAGAAAAAGATCTGGCTGTCTCTTCTCAGATGCATAGGTGTATGCCCCCAGTCTGTTGATGACTTTTTGGGTAATTCTTTACTACTGTGTTACTGTCTGTTTAAGCAGGGGGGGTTTGGAACTGGGAAGCTGGAGCCCTGGGTCCTGCTCTCCACTCTGTCACTAACTAACCTGCTGACCATATGCATGCTATTAACGGTCTCTCTCCAGTTTCCACTGAGTGTGAAACAGGGTAGGTTATGGGGAGTGCTTTGAGAAGTAGAAAGTTCTCTACTTCATAAGGCGATTATGTACTATATTGAGTGTGTCTGTTTCCTTGTTTTAGCCACATGCTAACCGAACTACAGTGCAATCCCTTATGATGAGCCTCGCTGGCTTGCATTCCTATGTGTGTAGTAATCTGAAGGGTGCTTATTCCTGAGCTGCAGTGAGAGCCTGGCACTTGTGTATTCTGAAATTTCAGTTTACTGAAATTGCTACACATGAATAGTAATTATTTGAGAATCATATGAGCGATGTGAGCACATTAAAAATAAATATAGAAATTTTTTTAAATGAAGAAATTATTATAGTGGTACTTTATTGTACTTAAATTCAGAGGTCCCAGTGTCCAAAGTGGCTTGTGTGTCTTAATTTGACTATTCATTGTGATTGGTGGAGCATGTTTTGCCTTCTCTAAATAATACTTTTTTTTTTTCCTGTTAGCTACTGGCATTAAAGCGTGCTTTAGTCTGCAGAAAACAGGCCAGTGTTTATTATCAAGAACTGACAGTCTGTTTTTTTTCTAACCAGTTATTTAAAAAATTATCCCAGCTAACAATTACAAAAACATCCATCAGCACCTTGGAAGATTTAATAGGATTTCTATGCAACAAACAGCTTTTTGAAACTAAGACGAAGCCTTCTAAGGGTTCGGTGGTATTTATTTTTCCCTTCTTTGTTATGTAATTATATGTCTGCAACAACTGAGAATCAGTGGTCCAAGGGGTAATTTAATCTTGAGGTTTTGATATCATGTCATTTTTGCCCACACATTTTTATTACTAGAAAGTGTCAAGTGAAATTATTTCCTTGTTATCAGTCCAACTATAGTTTCTTCATGCCTTATTTAGTAGGACACATAGTTAGCTTAGTGCCCTCAAGATTAATAGAACTTTTAAATAAAATTGTTACACTTGATTTTTTTTTAGTGCGATATGTATGATCTGATGGTTATATTTATTGATAGTGTCATGATTGTTGTAGGGGAAGAACATCACAAAGTTGAGTAAAGCAAAAAGAAAGTTTTATTCAGCATATATTCAAAAGGCAAAAGTGGGAAACGGACAACCATGCTGCCAGAGCCATGTCTGCCTGAGTCCAAGGAAATATCACAGAACAGACAAAAGTGGGAAAATGGACAAGCATGCTGCTAGAGCCATGTCTGCCCAAGTCCAAAGAATATTACAGAACAGACAAGAATGGGAAAACGGACAAGCATGCTGCCACAGCCTGTCTGCCCAAGTCCAAAGACCATTACAGAATCATCAGTATGTATTAACATTACAAATGGGAAAAAACATTGAAAGCTTCACCTTTTCACAGATTGGCTAGAAACTGTGATCCTACATTCTGAATTGTCTTTCTTAACAATCACTGTTACAGGTTTCAGTAACCACAGTCAGGAGGGTCTTCGTTGGTCCAAGAAATTTATATTCACTAGATGCTAATAGAAAAAGAGTAGGAAGTCTTTTGTGTTCTGTTTGATTGGCGTTATGTGAAAGTTTCCCTAAGATATTTTCCAAGATTATCTTAGCTGTTATCTTTATACCTCAGGGCCCAGTTCATGTGTCCTTGTGAGCCCTTGTGAGCCCAGCTCCACCTGGATCACATTCTCTATGCTCAAGGACAGGGAATAATAACTCTAATATTATTTCCTAAATTATGATGCACTTGAATATTTCATGCTCTGCCTAGAATTCATCTCTTGCTGGGAAAGTTGTACTTCACTCTGTTTGACAGAAGTATTAGAAGGTGTTAGAAATTGAACCATTCCTCCTCCACAGCATAAATTTCACTTTTATATTGTGTACACTGGAAACTCAATGCAGTGAATATAGGAATCCCCTTCACAGCTTCTTTTTTGAGACTAAGTTTTATAACAGTAAACCTTGTCATGTCAGTGTAAATTAGGTGTCTAGTTAATTCTGTTTATAGAGTTAGAAAAAAAGGTTCAAACTAAAAAAATTGGATTTTTGCCCCCCCACCCCCGTGCATATATGGAGATTCAAATGACTGCCCAATCATTGAAACAGCTTCCTGCTCTCAGATGCCTTCTACTGCCTTTCTTTACCCTATTACCTACTTGTTTCTCCCCTCTCCATTCGCACCTCTCCTGTGGATTTTGGGTTTTCATTTGCACCTGACTAGGTTGTATGGTTAGAGGAATAGCGGGAAATAAAAAAGAAAAACCTTGTGGATTTTTACTTGCATAAAGAAATTTGTGACTTTGGAAAGAAAAGGAGAGCAAGGGTGGAGGGCTGTGGCCTGGCCAGTGTGATGCAAATGAATCTCTACTACTGGGGCCTTTCTCCAGGGAGCCCCAGGAGGGCTTGGTTAAGAATGGTTGAAAATTCTTGCCTGGCAATTTTTGTCTTGCAGATTATTTTTCTGGGTAAGCAGGGTAAGTATCTTTGAGGTTTAGAAGTCACTAACTCTTCAATTCATTGTAATCTAGCTTCCAACCTTGCCATTCAACTGCAGATGCTCTCACCATGGCCATAGCTGATAAAGTTGCCAAACCCAAGGGTGCTTTTCAGTTCTTGTTTTACTTTGACCTCTCTGAAGTATCTGGCACTGTTGACCACCTCTTCCTTCTTTTTTGGTTTTTATTTTTTTTATTTGTTGTACTTCAGGTGAAGTCTTACACAACAAATAGTTTCTCATGAAACAGTAGTACACATATTGTTTTATGACATTGGTTAACAACCCCACAACATGTCAACCCTC